GACAATGATCTTCCAGATGGCACATGGGAAGTTAAAAGGGTTTCTCCTTTTACAATACCGACACCTCAGATACACACTGTTGGAACATCATTTAATATTAATTCCTGCTGGGAAATGTCAAAACATTGTTGACTGAACAAACACTGTCCCTTATCCTATAAACAATACGGCAATGAGTAATCACAGCCAGGCAAGTGACTCCCATTGAGTTCAGATGGACCAAGAGAATATTTTTAACTAACCATTACCAAGGTAGCAAGCTGCGCCCTTGTTCAAAGGGAAATAGACCTTCACATCCATAGGGAGCACTACTGAGCTCAGTAGCACTCTCGAGTCGATCACTTAGCAAGCTTATCCCAGTTGCACACAAGCAAACAGAAATAAGGCAAGAACTGTCTGCAATTACATCAAGATATAGATGCAATTTAAATTAAAAAAACCCAAAGAAAATAGAGCAAGAAAAAGCATAGCAAAATGATGCTAAATCACTACAAAATTTGTTGAATTAGAAAAGCATCCACATCAGGGATGACAATTCAGTCACAATTTTTTTAAAAATATATATTCCCTTCTGTTCTCCACTGAATCCTAGGCATTATAAGGAACAATGAGACAATTCATTTGTTACTCTTCAACTTGAGAGATTTGCTGAAGCTCTAAGAGCAGAGGAATAATGCTGTTTCATCCTTATTTCCTTGGAAGTAGACTCAGCCAGAATGCCGTCGTGTTGAATACGAAGATAAAACACACGCAGGGAACTAGATGAAGATTTAGAAATGTCTCTGCCACAGTAAATATGGGATGGGAGAGTTAAATGCACCATTATGCAAGTATGAAATTAAGTCAGACATGTAGAAAGACCACCCATCGAGTTGAAAATGAGCCTTTCTTTGCAGGTGCTCTCGTTTGAAAGGCTGACATTTTCCAATGATGAAAATTGCCTCCGTGAAATTTGTGAGAGTGCTTAGGGATTTGTGAGGGAGGGGAGAAGGGCTGGGGAGGCTTTACTAGAATTGTAAACAGGCAGCATAAGTCGACATCTAGTTCGCTGCGTTCCTGCCCCCGGTCTTTTTTTCTGTGATAGATTAATGAGCATCTGTTAGGAACAATGACATATTTGAAAACGGATGCATTATGGCCTTCAGCGGGTTCAACGTGAGCTCCTACCCATTCTGTGCTCTGAAATAAACAATGGAAAATGTTATGGGCCTGAACAAAAATAACAATAGGTCCCAGTGCCAGATCTTGGCCTCTGTGATTTCGATGCATAGAGAGAGATTTCCTGAGAGCGAAGCCTGAGAAGAGCGTACATGTCTTACTTGCTGGGGAGGAAAACTGAGGCAAGCCCCCAGCTCGTATGTCCAGCAAGAGGCATTAGGGAAGCAGCCATCTCTTTTCGCTTAATGCCAGAAGAATCAAAAAACCATGCTCTTGTTGAAGGTGACTATATCAAACAGTAATGGTAGGAAGGGCCCAAAGCCTCAGTATTGGCCTGACTCTTCACCCATTAAAGTCTGCTGGGGTGTTCATGTTATTAAGATTAATTATGAGTGTATTTGGAAATCCCACCATCAGCGTATTGCAGGACTTGCCAATGTTTTCTGCTCCGGGGGGGTGAACAACCCAGTTTGGACCTGAGGTGGGCAGGCGGTAGGATCTAGCTGCCTGCAACACTTCTTCCTACTGCCCAGCTGCACAAGAAAAGCCTAGCACCACTGAATGCTGCCCAAATCTGCAGGCTGAATCCATGGCTCTGCAGGCCATAGGCTGTTGACCCTGGGTGTACAGTATTGACCTCCTTATTATGTTGTTGGATATTGGTTTCAAATCTGAAAGGAAGGGACCTTTTGTCTTGAGCCTGCCTTTTTAAAAAAAAATCGTGTACTTGATTCCCACTCCTCTAAACCACAGTGTTTTATGGTGCCATTGGAACTAGGTCCTCAGTTAATTTAATTGACCAAACCCCTCCTAATTTACAGAATGTAACAATTCACCCTGAAGTGCTGACACTCTTTGGGGCAACATTGGCTTTGAATTCCTGGTACAAGCATTTGTATTAAAAAATGGCATCTCTGTGAGGCCCAGACCTACTGACCTTACTTATGTGAGCAGCTCCATTGACTTTGATTGGATTACTCAGGTGCGTAGTAGCAGAACTGAACCACTGCTTTGAAACAGTCTTACATTGTTTAATCTCACTTTGGCACATGTTGTTTGCTGAAGCTTGGCACTTATTTGAGCAGACGTCCATGAGAAAAAGGGAGATGAGTGACTGCTGACATTTTTCTTTTATGTACACGAAGACAAAAACATGAATGTTTTTAAAGTTAAATTGTTTCATCCATTTCCCCTTAATTTGAAATCTTTTGTACTTCCCTTATTGTTACTCCTTTTATGATTTAGGCCTTTTTTTTTTTGTCTTTAGCTTTTAAGTTTGCAAGAATTTACCCTAAAAAAGCAAAGCACTTGTATAAGAGGATGTTTTAAATAGACACTAACAAAGTAATGAGTCAGAGCACAGTTACCTAATTAGCTAGAGAATCGTTACTTAACATCAGAAGGAACTTGAGAAGATATTTGATTTGGTACTTGTATAACATTTCATGTATTAAATCTCTATCTTAATAACAAAAGTGCATAACCCTCATTGCTGAGAAGATTGTTTAGATGATTATAAACCTATGGCCTATACAGTGTGTGCAGCTCTGGAGCTCATCTCACGTTGGTGTTTATAGGCAATGTGCCTAGAGAATTGTGGGCTGTAGTGTATATGCAATGTGTACAACAGTGATCACAGTAAAGCACGTGGATGTCTCATTAACCATGAAAACCTTGTTGAAACATCTTCGCTCAATCCTAGGAATCTAAGCATAAAGTAATTGCCATACCATTTTAGATAGGACCCTCTAGTTGAGAGTCCTATCTCTGACAACAGGCAAAGTTTCCTGTACATGGAAAGATTTTATTCTTTGATTGGTCACCATTTTATGTGATGAAGGATGGAGATTTAAATTCCATAAATGTATAGGCATTTATAGAGATGGGTATATTCAGCATAATATAACTACAGATTATCTTATTATGTTTTGTCAATTAAATTAGCTGAGGATCTAGTCCTAATCATAAAATCATAAAAAGTTAGCTTTGGAAGGGACCTCAGGAGGTCACATCTAGTTCGACTCCGGCCTCAAAGCAGGACCATCCCCAACTAGATCATCCCAGCCAAGGCTTTGTCTACCCAGGTCTTAAAAACCTCCAAGGATGGAGAGTCCACCACCTCTCTGGGTAACTTGTTCCAGTGTTTTACTACCCTCCTAGTGAGAAAATTCTTCCTAATATCCAACCTAAACTTCCCTTGCTGCAACTTGCGCCCATCGCTCCTTGTTCTGGCATCTGCCACCACTGAGAACAGTCCAGCTCCATCCTCTTTCGAACCCCCCTGCAGGAAGATGAAGGCTGCTAGTAAATCCCCCCCTGTTTTCTGTTCTGCAGACTAAATAAGCCCATTTCCTTCATAACTCATGTCCCCGCAGCCTCCGAACCATTTTAGTTGCCCTCCACTGGACTCTCTCCAATTTGTCCACTTCCTTTCTGTAGCGGGGGCCCAAAACTGAACACAGGGTATTCATGACTGATGGATTTCCGTTGTGTATTCATTCTGGTGCACAGTTGTTGTTTGGTCTCCTACGTGCTTTCCATCAGGGCATTTGGTGCATTGGATGAGACATTACATTTCTGGAGATACAGGTGTAGGATCCAGGAATGGTGATGGCTCTGTTGTGGGGTGTGGTAACTGCGGGGGGTGGAGATATGTTGGCAGGTTTTGCATTTCTTGTCATGGCATGGTTTGGATCCACATTGTGTGTTTTCGGCCATAGGAAGTTTGCTTCTGGTGATGAGGTCAGTGAGGTGAGGTTCTTGTTTCAAGGCTAGGATGAGTGGTTCTGGGAAAATCAGGTTAGACAGACACTTATCTTGGTTAGTTTAGTCCATGATGACTCTGCCTTGAGCAGGGGGTTGGACTTCCTGAGGTTGCTTCTGGCCCTATTTTTCTTTGGTCTCTTTGCACATGGATTTGTAAAGTCAATACAGCAGATTTGCAGAGATAGCAGTGGCATAAAGCCTATGATTAAATGGAAGCCATTGGCTCAGTGCTTATCTACCAAACACCACTAATAGACAGATTAAATTCCCAATTTAAAAAAAAACTGGTAATAGTAGCACATAGGAAAAAGTAATAGGCTCCTGAAAATCATTCTAACATTGAGCAGTTCTTAAGTTAATATTTGTACAGCCCCTAGCACAAAAAAAATGGGTTTCTCGGTACTACCACAATACAAATTATAACAGAGATAATAAAAGCCATTCTGTTTAAAACGAGAAGTTATATTTTAGTTTCCCTGAACAACTTCTGGAGGCTATATAATAATGCATGTATTTTACTCTACCTTTGAGTAAAAAGAAAAATCCAAAATTAAACACATCTTTTCATGTTTTATTCTGGCTGTTAAAAAAGATCCTGAACATGAGGATCTATTTAACAATGTACCTAAGTGAAATATATTAGATTGCAAATTCTCCATGGCAGGGATTTTGTTTTCCCAGGTGTCTGTTATTACACATAAGGCTAAAATAGGCAAAGGCTGCGACTAAAGAATAAGAGCACAATGCAAAACTCAATGTGATTTAGTTGCTATTGAATGGTAATTGGGTTCTCCTTGGTTTTGAAGTCCTGAATAAACCAGTAAGTCCCCCAAAAAACAAGAGAAGGTTTTCTGTTGGGTGCATGGGTAGCTTTTGGCAAATTACTTAAATTGAATTGTGCCTCAGATTACCTGCCTGTAAAAATAGGGAACTTAATTTTTACCTCCCTCCGTGGTATATTATGTGCCATCATTAATATTTAGAGACCACGATATGTAAGCACACCTAATATTATTACTGTGTACAATCAGCTGTTTCATTTTGTTCAGTTGTTCATGTTCTCTCTCATTAAATAGGTCGGCTGCTACTTGAAGACCCCTAAGTATCCGATTTGGTTGGTATGCAGCGAAAGCCACTTCAGCGTGCTGTTTTGCTTGCAAAACGACTTACTGGGTGACTGGAAAACAGAACGGCGGTTTGATCTATATTACTACGATGGCTTGGCCAATCAAGAAGAAGAAATACGGCTAACTGTTGGTATGTATCAGTGTTCATGACAGCAGGAGGTGAGAAGACAATGCCTTTGATTAGTGTTCCTTAATTAGTTAAAATAAAGAGTGGCTCATTTCAGAGTAATGTGGAGGCTCATGGTTTTCAAAATCATAAAACATAGGAATCGAAGAACTGCAAGAGCTACCAAGTCCAGTCCCTTGTGTTCACAAGCAATGTAAACCCAAGGTTTGCTAAAAATTGTCCACTCTGGCCCCTCATACACCACAACTATTAGGCACAATATGAAAACAAACCTAAAATGCCCTACATCACACTACAGATAACAAGCAGGGAGCATGCATTATTTACATAGCGTGGTTTGACCTTAATCAACCAATTGTCAATGCCCAACGTGTGAATCAACACAGACTTCTAGGGCCATACACTTTTTGTGGAAGAATCTCCTATGCTCCTTCATTGCCATATCTCTTCTGAAGATACGTGGCATAAAGCAAGTTCTGCAGACTCATATATATCCACCTCTCCATGGGATGTAGACAGAGAGGGCACCGGACAGTCAGAGCAATCCTAGTGCTCCATTTGAATCGCTGCAGAGAATAGATTATCTGCCATAAATATAGCTCAAGTCCTTTCCTGAACTGCCCTTGGAGCAAACACATCTAGAAATCTAGCAGTGGATTGGATCATCGAGTCCAGTTGTCTACTATCTTAGTCAACAGAGTCCTATTCATAAACTGGTCAAATTCCATCTTCAAACTGGTTAGGGTTTCTTACCCCATGACTCCAAATTTTCCTGGAACCCCACTACCCTTATGGGTAGGAATCTTTTTTTCCTCCCTCGTTTCCAGGCCAAATTTATTCATGACAGTTTTTCCTGAGTAAACAGCATCCTGTCTTTAGGGAGCATTTCTTCCTCCCTCATATTTACACCCTGGGGTATTTATAGGCAGCAATCATGTGCCCTCACAGCCCTTGTTTTGCTAGGCTAAACAAACCAGGCTCTTTTTGTCCATTTTACTGAGATAACAGGATGGCCATCTGGTACCCCTAATCCCAGGCCTATTGTGATAGACACCAATACTGGAATCCGTGTGGACTCTCACTCAAAGGAGGAAGAATAGTTACTTGCCTTGCAAGATGCAAGGATTTTTGTTGGTGACATTTCTTATTGGACCAACTGTACAGTTAGGGGGATCTTTCGGTCTCTGAGAAAGTAAAAAGACACACAGCTTGAGTTATATAGGAGATAGAACAAAAGCCTGTAACTGCTATATATCTCAAGCCATGTCTGCTATTTTTCCAGAGATCCAAGGAAGGGTAATTCACACTCTAAAGCTTGTCTGTATCCCTCCCAGGTGGTCCAATAAAGGAGATCACACACAAAATCTCTAGCTTTTGCATTTTTCTGGACCATCATGGTTACGGAAACACCCCACCTCTACTTATCCTGCAGTAACTGTGGGCATTTGCACACATGCTTGCACTGCAGCGCATATATTTGTATAAATGGCAAAATGCATGCCAATGCTGAGAAAATGGCGGCAGCACACTTTTGAACTAAAATAAATCAGAGGTGTTTTAGTTCAAGCACACCGCCGCCATTTTCTGCGTGCTGACTTGCATTTCGCCACTTAGACAACTGCACGCGATGCAGCGCAGTGTGTGTCAGCTCTCACGCAAAGCGGATTCAATGAATCAAGTCTGCTCTGATGTATCGCAGCATGAAAAGGTATGTATCCACACAGGTTCCACGGCTTGGCGTTGGTCCCCGCTAGTTGGAGTTATATTCTCATATGGCTCGCACGTGGCAACGGATCCGAGTGCAACGTGCAGTCCTGGTCCCAACAGATCTTGCTCTTCAAAAGAATCTGGTCTTGTGGTTGTGGGGCACGTGCATACCAAGAGTGGACTGTGTAGCTTGGGGAACCCCAGTTACTGTAAGGGAAGGAACCATGCTTTGTGTCTGTTGGCTTCTCCCACTTTTCTTCAAACTGCATTTCATTACAATACCAGACCCATTCTGATGGAAATCTGTATTATGTGACAGTATTTGAACTGCCATGAGATGGGCTACTTGCATTGTAGGTGCTTTGGGGGACAGTAAGTGCCTTTCTGCCTCATGTTTCTATCAGAAGGGGGCTGTGGGTCCTATAAGTAGGACCTTTAGGCATTACCTTTATGCTGTTATTGATGATGCTGATGACAATGCCTAAAACTCTCTCTACAGATACAACTCAGAATTATACTGAAGATAAAGAAAATGATCTTATTCCTCCCCTTGAGCACTGTATTAGGACAAAGTAAGTACAACTTAGGGTTTTATAGCACAACACATTCAGTTCTCTATATTTTCTATCTCAAAATGAGGCTGGGACTTGTCAAAAAAATGAATGTGGACCACTTAGTCATGCAGAGATACTAGTTAAGAAAAAGGAAGGCTCTCACTCACTCAGGCTTGGATGACACCACATATGAACAATTAGGCTTCTGCCTTTGAACGTTATTGTCATTACCATATTAATGGACCGGATGGTCAGTGTAGTGCCTAAAGGATCCTTGTGTAAACCAGTAAGAGGTGACCCTACTAAGGTCAATACCAGAACTGTCTTGTACTTCAGTAGGTTCAGATTTGGGTTTCCCCAAAGCTGGGTGTTACTACAGCACACGATGCATGTGACAACGAGAAGAGTACATAAGAACATAAAATCCTTTGTTCAGTTATTTTAAGATATCTAGATTAAAAGTGTAGGACAGTGGGAACAACTGTAACATGAGCTGGTGTTGAAAAGAGCAGGAGAAAAGCAATCCTAGTGCATATAACATTGACACTAACAGAGAAAGCAGTATAATATTCAGTACAATGTCAGTGGGTGAGGGACACAGTATTTATATAGCATCTCATAAGTATATCTAACAGAGATATTAGCTGAGTTAGTCTGAAGTCAAGCAGAAGGTAGGGCACAGTGGAACCTTTGAGACTAACTCATTCCGGGGGGCACTGCTGAGAGGGGTGAAGTTATGCTGAAAAGTTCAAAAATGATAAAAAAAATGGTTAATCCACTGCCTGTTATGAATGACGGGCGGTGACAGAGACCTGCTTCTGGCCCCGCGCCCTCCCCCTGCCACTCCGGGTCCAGCCCTGCTCCTCCCTGTCCTGCCACCTCTTTGGGTCCTGCCCCGCTCCCCCTGCCCCACTGCCACTCTGGGTCCTGCCCTGCTCCCTCCCCATCCCACCACCGCTCTGGGTCATACGCCACTTCCCTGCCGCTCTGGGTCATGCCCCGCTACACCCTGCTCCTTCCTGCTGCTTCACACTCGTGGGGGCGTGCTGGGTGGCAGCATGGGGGGGTGGCGTGTGGCTGTGGGGTGTGGTATGGGGAGCAGCCACTGTGCGGGGAGCGTTTGCCATCTGCGTGGTGTGGGGAGAGGCCCCAGGGTGTGGTGCAGGGAGTGCAAGGGGGCATGATGCATGTTGGCCCGGGGGTGTGTGCGTGGCCACAGGGTGTGGTGTGGGGAACAGCCCTCGGGTGTGGCATGGGGCATGCAGGGGGTGTGGTGCGGGGCATGGTGTGGGGAGTGCCCAATGGCTGTGCTTGCATGACACAGGAAGCAGCCCCAGGGTGTGCGGGGGGCATGGTGTGCAAACACGGGGAGTGGCGTGGGGAGCAGCCATACTGCAGGGAACGCCTGTTGGCTGCAGACATGTGGTGCGAGCAGCAGCCCCAGGGCGTGCAGGGGGGCATGGCATGGTGCAGAGAGCAGCCAATGGTTGTGCCTTCATGGCATGGAGAGCAGCTCCAGGGTGTGGCGCAGGACTGATGGGGGGTGTGGTGTGTGACCACGGGGAATGGCATGGAGAGCAGCCATGGTGCAGGGTTGCAGGGAATGCCTGCCAGCCATGTGCCACAGGCAGCGGCCTTGAAGTGTGGTGTAGGGTGTGCGGGGAGTGCCCCAGCATGTGGCACAGGGTGTGCAGGGGGGCATGGTGCACGTTCTTTGTGGGGAGGGGTACATTGCGACAGGGTGTGGTGTGGGTAGTGGCCCTGGGGTGTGGCATGGGGTGTGAAGGCGTGTGTGGCATGGCACAGAGAGCACCCAATGGCTAGGCCTGCATGGCGTGGGGACCTGCCACATGGTGTGATGCAGGGCATGTGGGGGGCATGGTGTGCAACCACAGGGAGTGGCGTGGGGACCAGCCACAGTGCAGGGGCATGGGGAATGCTTGCCAGCCATGTAATACGGCTAGTGGCACAGGGTGGGGTGCGGGGCATGGTGCAGGGAGCACCCAGTGGCTGTGTCTGCGTGGTGTAGAGAGTGGTTCTGGCATGTGGTGCAGGGCATGTAGGAGGGCATGGAGCATGGCTGTGTGGGGGGTCATGCGTGGCCACAGGGCGTGGCACAGGGAGTGGCCATGGGGTGTGATGCAGGGCATGTGGGGGTGTGTGCCATGTGGCTGCACAAGGGGCTGGCACATGGGTGTGGTGTGGGCAGTGGCAAGAGTGGGGAGAGCACCTGCAGGCTGTGGCTGCATGGCATGACCCTGGGGTGTGGTGCAGGCTGCGCAGGGGGCATGGCACATGGTGGGGATTGGGCAGGGGGCCTTGCCCCACCCCGCACCCACGTGCTGCAGTGGCTGCCTGCGCGCGCCCCCTGTACCCGCTTCCTGCGCGGCACCCTGCTGCCACATGATACGACCCCCCCACCACACCCTTCCTGCGTGTCCTGCATGCCTCATGGCCACAGCCGCCCAACACTTCCTGCACAGGAGGGCATGCACCATGGGAGAGGGAGTGGCGTGTGGCCACATGGTGCCATGCGGGGAGCAGGTACAGGGGCACTCCCCACCCACAGCTGTGTGTTATAGCCAGTGGGCGCTACCCACACCCGCCCCCCATGCGCCCATGTGCCAGGCCCCCCTCTTGTGCGGCCTGCAGGGGGGTGTAACTTGCAGGCACATGGGGAGAGCACACGTGGGGGGCGTGCTCTGTCCTGCAGCTGTGTGCTGCAGCCAGCGAGCACCACCCACACCTGCTCCCCATGCAGCACCCTGTGGCCTCCTCACCACTACCTCCCCAGCATGCCACGACCCATTGCCCGCACCACATGCCATGCCCCCACCCTGGGGCTCTCCCTCCCTCCACTTCCCACCCTAGCCCTGACTGCCTCTGCCTCTTCCTCTATGTCTGTCTGTCCTTAGGTTCTGGGCCACACATGCGCAGCTGGCCCGGAGCATTATAGACAGACACATAGGTGAAAGTGCCATGGCTTTTATTATATTAGAATAATTAACTTATACAACTGACAGAATAGAAGTCACTGTAAAGGTGGGTAAGCACTCACATAGATAACTTAGCGACACTAGAGAATCACCATCACTGGAAATGTTTGTGCAGGTTAGACAACATCAGTCTGGGATGGTTTAGACAAGGGTGATCCTGCCTTGGGCAGAGGCCTGGACTAGATGCCCTCCTGAAGTCTTCTAGCCCTGTTTATCTATGATTTTAATGATGCTCATTAGAAGCTTTTCCATTGTAGCATTTACTTCCCTATGATTCTGAATTTCTGAAACATTCTTCTTTTTAAACCAGACATTTCTATGGGTAGTATCACTCATGAGTGATACCAGCCATATAGAGCATCTTAAAACACAGGATTTTGAACCAAATTCTTGATTAGAAAAGTGGCACTGAGCCTGCATAGTAGACATCGTTTTTGATATGCCAGGTAAATTTTAGGCCAGATTCCATTCTCAAATCTATACCCATCTCCTGTTATGACGGACAGAATTTCACGCACATATCTGAAGGGCATATACCAGGACTTAATAGGAGGGAGACATGGATTTGCAGGTATTGAATAAGCTCTAAATTACATTGCATTTAATGGGAATATTTCCAGTGACATCAATGGGATGTGAATCGGGCATTACATGTACAACAAAATGGATGTCGACATGCCTGCTCCACAGCAGATCTTGGAAAGTCTACTAACCAAATATCTCTGAAACAAAATGCTTTCAGACCTCATTGAGGAAGTGTGCAGCACTTGTTAAACCAACAAGCCAAATAATTCAAGGTTCTTTTGTAATCTTTTCCCCGCCTCTTAATTTTTTCTTTTAATAGTAAACAAACTAGGAGGTTAACTGTCAAACACTGTTAATTCAAGGCTCACATTACACTTAGAAATTTAGAAAAGACAGTTTTAACACAGATTCATCGCACATATCAGATGCATTGCATTCCTGTGTCCCGGCTAAACCGAATCTTAACAAACCATGGTTTAGTTATAAAAACTTATGTCCAAAAAAACACAGTTGTTAGCAATCTACAGCAAGCAAAGTTGCCATTAAAATCTCTTTTTCTGGATTTTTTTTTGCGATGGTCACATTATAACTATATTATAACTATATTATAGCTATATGGAGTGTTTTCCCCATCCCCTTCTTCTTTTGTTTAGCTGCTTGAATTTTTAAAGGAGGAAAATAAAAATAATGACACATCATTATATTTTGTTGGGGTCAGTTCTCGGGGTAGAGGGTTGTCGCCCTTGATCCATCTGTCCAGATTAGCTCTGGTTGGCATCTGTGGACTGCTAGCAGTATATCACAGAATCACAGGGCGTCTATGCATGCGCTTTGGTTGGGGGCATGCTTTAATTAGAGCGACTCTGAGAGATGCTCTAATTAAAGTGCTCACAGCATCACGTGGTTCAAACTGGTGGTGGAAATGTGTGACCCAAAGCTCATTCAATGAGCTGTAATTCAAGTGCCCCTGCCACCATTTGAAACACGAGGATCCTGAATAGACATGATGTGGAGGCTGCTGGAGCATCATCTAGTCCTCCCTCCTCCCTGAGGCAGGATTGTCCCTGTCCAAACCATTGTCAGCAATCACTGTTGGAATAGCAAGTTCAGCCGGGGCTATTGTTTCTTTCCGTTCCTCCTTATTTGATAGCGCTTCATTACAATTATGACAAATCAGAAAGGAAACGTGGAAAATAAATGCTACGCGTTTGTATGTGTAATTGGAATCTATGAGCTAAACAGGTTACAGGGACCAGGGGTGATTATAAAGGAGTTTTGCAGCCTGAGAAAGAGGGGAAAATATTTTATGCTAGACAGAGAAGGGAAATAGTTCAAAAATAACTTTTATTAAAAAAAAAAAGTGCATTAGTCTGCACTGATCCCTAGTGCCATAAGATTTCGTACCAGAAGAAAATGGTAACTCTTCCCCATCTCATTTTTCAGAAGTGAGAACATGTCAAAGACTGGGATTTTGAAGACAGCGCTTTTGATCCCTTTCTTTCCCACTGCTGTATTCTATAAATAGTCCTATGCTGTGCCTCTTACCGCAGTGTCCGAGCACCTTCCAGTAACGCAGCAAACAACGCAGCCAACATCTGCCACGCATTTGTTCTGTTGTCCTCTTCCCAGGAACGGAACTGTGTATGTCTGAGGGAGCGTTTTGTTATTTGGGACATTTTTATGACAGAGGGGGAGTGTTTGGTAGAGGTTTTATGGGAAGGGAAATTATGTGCATGCTGCTACTTAATTTGGAAAAGTCATCGTCGAAGTAGTGTGCCTTGCACTTGAGGCAAAAAGTGAGCACTTCAGAGAATTAAGGAGGACCAAACGCCTGCTGGCGTTGTTTCCAGCTGCGGTGCCCAACCAAAGAGTAGACGGCAAATATGTGTGCTTCTGTTGTTGCTTCCAGCGCAAGACGGCTGTGCAAGCTGTCAGAGGCCGACCAAAAGATGTCTGGAATGTGCGTCCCTGGGTTATTTTGGAGATGCCGTGCAAATGATTCTCATCCCCATTGTCCTCTTACATCACAGCGCCCATCCTCCGATGTTTTCTTTCTCCGCTGGCGGAAATAGCATCTGCTAGCTGTCCCGCAAGCAATGAAACTTTGATCCTGCTTTATTATCTAAATTCAGCAATATATTTTATTAACTCCTTAGCTCCTCCCTTCCTCTGTGGTTTCTGGGTTTTGTAGTAACACAACGCAGATGTGTTCTTGTGACAGCCTCCGTGGAGGCAATGGCTCTCGTGGCATGCAGGGACCACACAGGAAGTGCTCTTCCTCCCATGCACCATGCACCTGAAAAACACAGCCGAACCTTTATGAATGTTATTCTAGACCAGGGTTGGGCAAAATGGCAGATCCATCTGGTGGACAGACTCCATTTCCCAGTAGCCCCTGCCCGTGTCACTGCGGCTGATTTCCATGCAGACCCCAGCAGCAGCGGTACCATGACAGTGTGAGGCCAGGGTTTCCACGAAGACCAGCCCCAGCAACGTTGGCAGGGCATGCGACTCGGCCAGGAGGGGCTCTTTAGCCAGGGTTGGGATCTTATGGTGATGACCGCATGGTCCAGAGCCGGGGGAGAGCCACGATCTGCTGCCTGCGCACCCCTGCCTGGGACATGCAGGCAGAGGGTTGCAGCTCTGCCCTGGTTCTGGACTGCGCTATCATTGCCGCAAGATCCCAACCCCGGAGCAGCTCCCTGCCCAGCTGTGTGCCCTACCAGTGCTGCTGGGGCTAGTCTCCATGGAAACCCTGGCCCTGTGCTGTCATGGCACTGCCACTGCTGGAAACTAGCCACAGCGACACGGGCAGGGGCTGCTGGGAAATGGAGTCCACCACAAGCCCAATGCAGCTTGTGGCCCACCCCCGTTCTCGATGGAGGGCCAGAGCCAAATCATTTTCATAGGTGCCTCTAACAAAAGCATGGATATTATGTTGGTCCAAAGCATTCACAACTAAAGTCGTCCAGCCATGAGTGTGCAAAAAAGTGCTGCCCGACTAGCTGACACAGATCACGTCATAAACATAAAGTAAAACTAGACATACATTGGCATTAGCAGATTTAACAGAAAATAACTCAAGATTCACACATGCAGATTCAACACATCGTATATCTCTCAGTTGCAGTGCCTGAACATTAGTTTGTCACTGAGGTTCCCCGTACAGTTAATGGAGATATTTATTTGCTCCAAAAGGGTGACTCAGAGAGCCCTTGTGCTAAGCAGGTGGGTGCTAGGGCAAGCCGATAGGAAACATTAGGCACAGGGGTGACCCCAGACTCCTGCTCTCCGCAGAACTGAATGGCCTGAATCAGGACTGCAACCCTTGTTAGCTGCAGCAAAAGGGACACCTGATAACTTGCACTGAAAAACAGCTCAGTCCAGGGCAAAGTGCAGCACCCACAGCAACATCTCCGTCCTGAACGTAGTAGTTGTGGTGGTGCCCACCTTTTGCATGGGAGCCTAGAGGTTAGACCACTCATCCAAGAAGTGGAGGGCCTGTAACTCATCTTGAGAGGACTCAAATCAACGTCTACTTTCCAGAAGTGGCCATACCAGCAAAGGCGGCATGGATTGCAATTACTCCTCCTCCTATTGAAGCTGGGAAATCAAGGCTGCAAGAGCCATGGAGCTAAAAGGAGAATAAGCAAGATGTAGGAGTCCTGGCTTCTAATCCCAGGGGCTGGATGTGTTTCTGATTTTTTAACCAATAACTGCCTAATGGAAATTGCAAGGAATGGGAACCCAGGGAGTGCCCTCAGCACTGGGTTCCTGTGTCCTGCTCTTTAGCACCCTCTGCTCTCCTCTTTTCTTCTGGCTTGATTGATGTTGCAGTCCTCGCTACTGAGAGGCCCAGCTTGCATAGCCTCATGCTTCGTATGCTCCCCTGAGAAATGGGGGATGCGTGTTTGAGTCCCATTAGACCGAGGACTCAGTACCCAGGTCTCCTGCTGCTTAGTGCATGTTCGCGCCACAGGGCTACTGTGTAAAAGGGGGACATCACCATGTTCAAGACTAAACATTACTGGGGGTGTTGCAGTTTTCAGTGAACTGAATAGTGCTGTTTGTCCCCGTCAGACAGTAGATATGTCCTCTGGAGGCATGACAGATCAGGGACTTTGACACACTGTAGACACCACGTCCCGGCTCTGATCTGGATTGCAGTGTCTCTGAGATAGGATCTATATGCTGTATTTCAGGGGCAGGCAATTATTTTGGGCGGAGGGCCACTTCCTGAGTTTTGGCAAGCCATTGAGGGCCACATGACAGGCAACCAGGGGCAGATAAATATTCATTTTCTAAGTTTTTTAGGGGCCCCGTGGGCCAGATAAAATGGCCTGGAGGGCTGCATCCAACCCACGGTCCGCATTTTGCCCACCCCTGCTGTATCTGCATCAGCTCTGAGCATGCCCAGAAACCTTAGTCTAGGCATCAAAGGGTCTTTCCAAACCAAAATGGAGGCACCTGTTGAATCAAAGCAGCTGAAGTGGTTTGGTGATTGCTGGAGCAGGGTTGGCTTGACAGTCGTTTTGTGCCTTTCCTTTGAAAACCATTTGGATTTGGTCGCAAGTGTGCAGCACGCGTGCAATACAGCTTCTGTTGAGATCAGTGGAAGCACACTTATTAACTTCCAGAGGTTTTGGATGAAGCTCCAAGTGAAAAGATTCGCTTTTGATGAGTACTCCGATGAAGTCTAGTTGAATCCGAAGCTGATGTCGAGGTCTACTGCAACAAGATAGCATGGGGAGATGGTCAAACTGCCCCTGCCCATGCCATACCTGTTGTGCCAGTCAGGAAAAGGCTTTTGCAGGACCTGTCCATAAGGCACCTGACAGCGTGGCATCTCTGATGACCTTTAAAAGAAAACTACTGAAGTGCTACAATTGTGGCCCAAGCTCTTGGGGAAAGGGAACAGCAGTGGGATGTTTTTCAGCCTGCATTAAATAGCTTTAGGGAAACTGTTTGCAAATCAACGGAAGATGAGCATTGCTACCAAAGCCATCCTTGCGCTTGCCACAGATTGTGGGGTTTTTCTATTTGACATTGTCTTGACATCTTAAGATAAAAGCCATTTTCACGGTAGAGTGACAAACGTCTTAGGAGACAGAGTGATGTCAGCAACAATTATGGCACCGCAGTATTTCGGCTGATAGCCACATAGTCACCGGTGTGCTTTATTTTCTGCGGGGGGGTGGTGTTGATAGACACAGGGTCAAAAATGCAAATCGGCTACTCACAGCTTTCTCTGTAAAGGAACATACAGGCTGACTGGCAACCTGTAAGAGGTTAGAGCATAGTGGTTGGTAAGGGTTAATCTTTATACACCTCACAGAGACGGCAACGACCAAGATGTACCTGATCACTCCAAAGACATCCTCCCTGGACTCTCCCCGGGATTTTTCTGGCCCTCTTTCCAATGGCAGATGTATGCGCTAACATAAAATGATCTCTTTTACCCCCAGGTGGAAGGGAGCCGTTATCGACTGGAACGGCACTGAGCCCATCTTATGACTGAGCTGACCCTGGACTGCAAGAACAGCGCCTTCCTGTTCCCACCAGTCAGGGAGAGAGGGCAGGAGCCTGCCCAGTTACACAATTTAAGCACAACAGAATGACAGGCTGCGTGCTGGCTGGTGGGAAGAAAATCCCGGCATGCTTCAGATCGGCCGTCTGCAGTGTAAACAACCTCGACACACGTTCTTTGCCACTGCCTTGTATGTACAGTGCCTGAAAGCAGGAGCCACCGCTGCCAAATCATGCATTGGGAAAAATCAGTAAAACTGTCAGCATCTGCTCGAGCTCTGCTTCTGGATCTCTTCTGTATCCTGCAATTGTCTTTACCGATGCGATGAAAGAAGCGGCACCCACTTTTTTTTTTTTTTTT